AGTTTGTTTCATATCCTTTCTTCAATTCTTTCAATTCTTCCCTGTTCGTATTGTCATCATGTTTGCTTTGTGTACATTTTTCTTCCCGATGCCATTCAGTTTCTGTCAATTTGAGGAATTTTGGTCCTTGTATCCATCTACTTTCAGAAATTAATTTCGGATTAATTGTCCATTTTGTTCCTTCATCTGCAACATTTTCTTTTGTATTTATCCATCTCCAACTTATCACATCGGTTAAGGTTTGAATCACTTTAATCCGATTGGCTACATATTGTTTGAAGTTCGAAGAATCTTTTCGAATCCATCGCAAAACAACTTGAGAATCTGTCCATAAATACGTTGTGGAAATCTGAATTTTGTGGTTATCTTGGATGAATTTCGATAGATTACTGGCTAATACAGCGGCTTGCAGTTCTAGTCTGGGTATTGAGACCTGTTTCAGTGGGGCAACTCTTGTTTTCGCCATTACAAATGCTGTTTCTACCTTCTCATCTAGTTCATGTCTGAAATATGCCACTGCACAATAGGCTTTCTCACTTGCATCACAGAATACGTGCAATTGAATGTGTGAACTCGAAGTAGGACTGATACTATAACATCTCATAATTCTAAGATTTTCCATTTGTTGCATTACTCTTCTCCATTTATGCCATCTTTGTTCATGTTCTAGCGCCAATTTCTCATCCCATGCAGTTTTGCTTCTCCACAAATCTTGCATCAAAATTTTGATATAAATCAGTACATTAGCGACAAAACCAAGAGGGTCAAAAATTGACATAGCAACTTTTAATAATTCTCGCTTAGACGGAATAGATTTTCCTTCCATAATTTCTGGACTCACTGTATGCAGCTTCAATCGGAAAACCAACTCGTCGTTGTTTGGATCCCAGTGAAGACCTAGAACTCTTTCATAGGGCCCGTCTACTTCCAAATTGAGATTTTTGTTCTCGGCTGATCTCAAATTCTCTGGAATATGATTTAATACTTCTTTTGAATTGCTTGTCCAGCTGCAGATTTTAAAATTAGCTCTTTTGTGAATTTCTATAACCTGTTTGATTAGTTCTATAGCCTGAAGTTCAGTGTCGCAGCTATCAAGATAGTCATCCATATAATGATTGTTGATAACTGCATCTGCTGCTTCCGGAAAAACATTTCTAAATTCTTCTGCATTCTTGTTTCTAACTAACTGTGCTGCACTAGGCGAACAAACGGCTCCAAATAACATGACAGACATTTCATATACTTGTGGTTTTTCAAAGCAATTATCTCTCCATAAGAACTTCTGGGCTGGTAAATCTTCGGGTCGTATGTTTATCTGCAGAAACATTTCCTGAATGTCACCGCTAAAGGCAATTTTTTTGAGTCTGAACTTAAATAAAATACTAATCATTGAATTATAAAGATCTGGACCGGGAAGAAGCATATCATTTAAGCTAATATTATTAGATTTAGCAGCACAATCGAAGACAACTCGAATCTTCTTAGGCTTGTTGGGATTTATGACGGCAAAGTGAGGCAGGTACCAAGCTCTGTCTTCAGATTTCAACTCATCTTCTGATAATTTCCTGGCATAACCTTTTTCCAAATAATCTTTTATCTTATTTTTATATGCTGCTTCAAATAATGGATTTCCCTTCATTTTCTTTTCTACACACCGCAATCTTCTTAGTGCGTTACTCTTGCTTTCTGGCATTGCTATATTCTCATTCTTCCATAGAAGTCCAGTTTCCCATTTCCTCTCGCCTACTCTTCTTGTTACTTTGTCTAACATCTCTGCAGCAAAGGAGTCTTTTTCGGTCATATCATTGTGATCAGTACTCTCATATTCTCCTATTTTTTCAATTTCGAAAGATTTTTTCACAAGATCATATAATTTATCGTCATTACATTCTTTATGGTTACAGATAAGATAGCTGTAATCATTGCTAGGCTTGATAGAACAGTTCACATTCCCATGTAGTACCCATCCTAACCAGGTCTTGGTCAATACAGGATCATTCCATGTTCTCTGAATATAATTTCTAGGAATGGTTAAAGGCCAGTTATCTTGTCCAATGAGCAAAGTTGGCTTGGCATTTTTCAGTGATTTTACAGGAACATTCTTTATATAGGGCCATTTTATCGATAGTTCATCTACGTCTACATTTTGAATCGGCAATGACAGATTCTGCATTGTTCGCACTTTATTAAGAGTGAATATTTTACTTCCCTTAGCTACTCCTGATATTTTTAAGGAAACGATCCGAGAGTTCTCCATCAGATTAGACATATTGTTTGTCCATTGTAGACACAAGGGTTTCTCAATTCCTTCTAGACCGAGTTCATTTGCAATTTCATTGTCCATTAACGTGACTGTTGAAGCTTCGTCAAATAAAGCGTAGGTTTCAATTTGGGTACCAGAAGTTCCTTGAAGCATAACCGGGGCAACTCTCAGTAGAACTTGGGTATCAGACGAAATTGTAGCATTGAAATGTGGCGATTCTTCTTCTTCATTAACACAACCTGCTTCATTGCTTTCTTGTTTGTTTGGCGCTTTTTCATCATGCAACATCTGGTGATGAAACTTTTTACAACCACTTTTACCGCATTCTTTCTTGTATCGGCAATAGTGAATTTGATGACTGGGCTTGAGACATGAAAAACATACCTTTTTGGATTTGACCCATTCCCATCTTTCATCAATGGTGATACTAGCAAAAAACTTGCATTTATTGATTGAATGATAACTGTTTTTCTTATTGCAGTAAATACACTCTTGTCGCAATTTTTCTGTGGTAGAAAAAGTTGTACCTCTGTCCATATGAAGAAAGTGTTTATTCTTAGTAGTGTTTGGATTCATTGGCTTTGTTACAAAACTTGCGCTTTCAGCTACATCTTCTAACCATACTGAAAATTCTTTCAGACTGACTGGAGTTTCATTTAGTTTTCTCTGTGTTCCCCACTGCAGTCTCAAACTTGGTGGCAATTTCTCAATAAGAGTTTGTAAAAACTGATGATTCGTTAAAGATCCTGGAGAATTTAAGCTTTCAATTGTTGCAACTAAATTAAGTATACTGTTTGTAAAATCGATGAGGTTTTCAAAATTGTATTCCTTGATATACGGCATCTGGCTTATTTTTCTCATGATTTCGTCAATAATAAATTCAGGACGTCCAAATCTTCTCTCCAGGATTTGTAGAGCCTTTTCAATTTGATCTGGGAAATTTAATAAATATTGTATACTTTCTTTTGCTTTGCCTTTTAAACATTTCTGAAGTCTACTCATGTTTTCACGATTAGAAAATCCACAGAGTTGGGTTGATTCTCGGAATTGATTGATGAAGTTAGGCCAATCCATCGGCTCACCTCCAAAATAGGGTAACTCTTTGGCTACAGATTGTCTTAGCATGTATTTATTCATATCCACTTGATGGGTAACTTGGCGCTTCCCTTTGAACGTACCGTTTTCAGTATAATCACTTGTATTGTCAGGATAACCACTACCATTTTCAGGTATCTTATTGACCCATGACTGCACGTTCACTTCTGCCTGCTCTTCTAAAACTTGTATTCCGCTTACACTATCTGATGAAGCTTTTATAGACTGTTTCTTCATTTGAAGTAACTTAAGTTCTTCTCTCATTAGTTCAATTTTCAATTGCATTTCTCTTTCCTCTATTTCTATTAACTTTCTGGATTTCGTGGATTTTGCTGTAGACTTGCTCTTAGTGGACATATTTTTAGCTGCTTCTTCTCTAGGAAATCCATGAAATTCTGATATATCTGATACTTTTTCACTATGCTTATCTCTAGACATTTTCACCACCCTCTAGAAATTCTTTTTTTTTTTCTACGTTGACAACTTCCGTCAATTCCCGAAATTTGAAATGTCGAATATTTTTCACTTGGAAAATACCTTCTGCTGCGATCCGGCTCGAAGGTCCAATGTTTGGGCTTATAATGGCTGATAACTCGAAGGACCTTTGGCTCAAAAATATTAACAACTGGCTTATAAAACAAGGCTTATAGTAGTTTTCAATTCGTATATTCATACAGAGTTGAATACATATCAATCATTCAAAAACACTCCTGTTTCCCTAACAACCGTCCCTGAACTAGAAAATATACCGAGTTTCTCAACACAGATGGCAGGTCACAGATGCACCAACAAAATACGTAGTATAGATAAAAATTATAAACATTTTGAGTTTAATAGGGTAGGTATGATAGTAATTACAACACATAATATGCAGTGATGAAAAAAAAAACATGTACATATTACAACACATATGGGATCATTTACAAACCTATGTAAGAAAGAAATTCTTCAATTGAATAGAAACCGTTTTCAATGAGGTAGTATTTTACCTTCAATTTAAAAATGTTGTAGCTATCCAAGCTTCTTAGGTTCTCTGGTAAAGCATTGAAAATGGGATTTTTGGAAAGTTGAAGTATTATATTTGAAAATAGACATTTCAATGCATCTAGTATGGTATCTATAAATAGTGTTCTGCATATGAAACCTTTCAGGATGTAGCTTTATGTAAGTTACACATTTCAAGATATAGATGCAAGTAAGTGTAAGAATTTTTTCTCTGTGCTATCCTGAGGCGGATCCCCAAGTAATGACGTTATATTCTAAGTGACTATATTCAAAGCTGTACTACAATTTCATTAGCCCCTCTTGATCTAGGTGGGATTTCGTTTGGAAAATGGCATAGAATGACAAGTGTCTGTTATTATCTCCACCATTCGTGATTCCATTCATTCATCCGTGTTTGGTGTTTAGGGTTGTTGGCGTATACTTCTCAATGATTTATGAATGAATTGTCGTGTCTATCTATTGTTATTTAGTCTGATCACTCACCCGCAGATGTACAAGTGTCTGTTATTATCCCCACCATTGGTGATTTCAGTCATTCATCCGAGTGTAGCGTTTAGGATTGTTGACGTATAGATATACTGTTTAATGATTGATGAATGAATCGATGTATCTATTCTTATTGAAAGTTGACACTCACCTGGGAGGAGAAGGTGCACACCAGATAGTCGCTCATCGACAGCATGTGTATGTCGTAGATGATTCCGAAGAGCGATGAGTCCGAGTAGCGGGTCGAGACTGCAGCCGTCTTCGCTATCGACGGATCGCCGATGATCTCGTAGCCGGAGTACTTGCTCCGCACCTCGGCATGAACCTTAATACGGGTACATAATAGTTCTTTATGTATCAAGAGCGTGAAGTAGGCTTTTACGGACCGCAGCGTGTAAGTAAGATTATTAACACGCCTAGGTCCATAAAAGTAAGTTACGCCCGAAATACATATTCCCAACATTTTATGCACGACCGTAATATTTGATTTTCCATTGTAAATACCTCTTCACCTCTCAAGAACGATATGAATGCATCATGGCTGCAGTGAGGAATATCATTGATGGAATCAACGTTACCTTGGAAACTCAGTGGAATTTTTGAAATAGGAGTAGACTTTTACATTAATTTGTTGACAATTGTGGAGCCGCCTTTATTACATTTACTTGCTAGCCACAGTAAGGCGTTCATTTAATTTCATTAACATTGTATCTCTTGGCATTGCCTGGAATTGAGTTTAATACCCAACCTATTTATTAAAATTAACTTCACTAACAATGTATCCTTGAGTTAATTATCAAATTTCAATTTATTCTATACTATTAGCCACCACATTAACGTTGATTCTAGGAAAACATTGTTTTTACACATCTTAAGTGTACCTTCGACCCACATTACTATGATAATAATAATGGATTTATATGCATATTGCATGGTTTCCAAAAGGTGGTTTGATATTTTTCTTCTGTCCTCTCCTAATTCTTCTCAGTTAACTCTGAGTGGCGGCCATAGTTTGCATTTCTCATTTTTACCTAACATCTTGTGGAAAAATACATGAAAATATTTTTTTGAAAAAGCTCATGACCGCTCTACGACTATCAAAGCTGCAGTGTATATTGAGGATTCAATTTTTATTTTGTGAGGTTACGTCACAGTTCATCTGAACTTTTCTTCTTAAAATAAGCCAAGAAAGCCTGCATAAAGATTATTATAAATTATAATGTCCACCTACCTTCGGATCGTCAGAGGCGAGGTAGATTCGTCTCTTGTCGACCTTCCGTTGGGTCTCGAGCAGGTCGTAGTAGTCGTTGACATGTGACATGTACTCGTCGACGCCGTGAAAGGCGGCCTCGGTGCCCACTTTGTCAGTACGCCGCACGTGGACTCTGAAACACAATTATAAACATTCCAATTCGAATTTTGTTTTTTTTTTTATGTTCTAGTTCCCACGAAAAGGGACATCCTGTAATGTTCAGAGAACATCGTGAGAACCAAGGGAAATAAGGTAGGAATTGGTGTTCTTCTTGAATTTCTGTAGGTTATATGCCTCGGGGAACACCTCCCTTGGCAATGTGTTCCAGAGCCTAGCTGTTCGTTGGATGAAGGAGTCTTTGGAAAGAGATGTTCTGCAGGCCTCCAAAGTGACCACGAAGGGGTACGAAGCCTCAACTCAACGGGTTAATCTCGCGGGGACTGCCAAGGGAGGTACAATTGTTGATATTTCAGAAGAGCATCGTCCATGAAAATACATATAAAATAGAGCCAGATCGCCAACTCTTCTACGGTGTTCCAGAGAAGTGAGTGAGTTTGTGAGTGAGGCATCACCCACGAGACGAATTGCCCTTTTTTGGAAAGAATCCAACAGCTTCAGGGTATGTTTGGGTGCCGCATTCCAAATATGGGAACAGTATTCCAGGACAGGCCGGATCTGTGCCTTATAGATCATAAGCAGCTGACTGGAAGTGAAATAGCTCCTGGCTCGAAACAGAAAACCATGTTTTTGGGATGCACTTTTAGCAATTGATCTCACGTGATTTTCCCAAGAAAGGTTATTGCTGATAGTAATACCAAGCATCGAAATGGATGTCATCAAAGGTATGGTTACCCCTGACATGCTTATGTTTGGCACAGTGAGATCGGCTTTTCTAGAGAAAAGGCATGCTTGTGTTTTGTTCGCATTGAAATCTACCAAGTTATTGGATCCCCATTCGAGAATTGTTGCCAGGTCCATATTTATTTTGTCAACATTTCTTCCTCGTTCGTTTCTGATTTGCCTGGCTGGTATTGGAGCCCTGGAAGAGAAGGCGGTATGGAGGAAACTATCATCCGCGAAGCTGTGTACTGGACATGAAGTAGCTTCCAACAAATCGTTGATATGGAGTAGAAATAGTGTTGGTGCTAGAATTGATCCTTGCGGAACACCAGCATTTATGGCAAGAGAGTCGAATGAAACTCCGTCGACCACAACATGGGGAGAACTGTTTGAGAGGAAACTAGCTAGCAGAGAACATAGCTGGGGAGACAAGCCATAAGATGGAAGCTTGGCGAGGAGTCCGTGGTGCCAGACTCGATCGAATGCCTTGGAGATATCAAGTGCCACGACTAAGGTTGCACCATATTTTTCAATAGATTGCTGCCATATATGTGAGACGTAAGCGAGCAGGTCACCAGTGGATCTCTGCTGACGGAAGCCATATTGCCTATCGTTGATAATACCTAAATGTTCCTGGTATTTCATGAGCTCTATGTTGATAGCTTTCTCCATGATCTTTGAAATAATAGATAGCAGTGCGATCGGTCTGTAGTTGCTAGGTAGATTCTTTTTGTCTTTTTTAGGAACTGGTTGTACTCTTGCAATTTTCCAGTTGGACGGGAATATCCCCAATTTGTAAGAATAGTTTAACAACTTGCAGAGAACAGGTGTTAGTTCGGGAGCGGACAGATCATAGCTGCATTCTTCTTTAATGATCTAGAGACTTTAGTTTTGTCTACTGGCATCCCTGACATTGCTGTCACGTCACAGCCATGGGGGCTATAGAAAATCATTCAAAATTTTAATAATAGGTATGTACATGGTATTAACTTGTTGAAGAAGATCATATGGGGATCGACTTTTGTAATTATGATCCGATTCTATTCAAAATTGGTATCTGGGGGTTTTCGGGGTAGGAGATAATGATTGTTTCGTGAAAATTGTAAAATTCAGGATGACGGATCGAATATGGCGAAAGACATTTCTAATTATGATCTGATTTTATCATGTTTGGTATCTGTGATAAATAGTTGTTTGAAAAATCAATTGAACACGCGTTCGTAGATACTTTGTCGAATTAAGAAGAAGTAGAACATAAATAGTAGTTTAAGAAACTGAAGAAATAGATTGCCGAGCTGAAAACGAGTATAAAATGTATAGTATCTTGAAAAACTAAAGAAACACGCTTTTATGAATAGCCGAACTGAAAAGAAGTAGAAAATGAAATAAATAAAGTGTCCTGGTAAATATTTAACTAAAAGAATACTTTCTAGAAATATTGTGCATAGTAAAACAACGTTTGCCCAAGTCAGCTAGTAATCTAGTAATGATATTCATTATTCGTTCCCAATACTCTTTGTATATTGTTGAAAAAAATAATATTGATCGTGTCAAATGATTTCCGAATGTTAATGATTATAAAATTCTAGAAAATAAAAACATTTTACGATTAAATAAGGATATTATTTACTGAATACGATATTTTCCTATTCTCTTTTGAAAAAAATTGCGAAATGTGCTGTGTTAGACTGTGCCAATCAGTTAGATGGCAAATTTCAATTTGTAAGCTTTTCAACAGATGAAGATAAACTCAAAACATGGAAAGTAAACATGAAGAGACCGAACTGGAAAATCGGTAAATTGAGCAAAATATGCGAGTTAAAAATGATAGAAAATCACGTATACTTTTTCATTGCGCTTATCACCCTACAAATTTTTAGATGCACTAGTGCGGAAAAAACTTTTTCCGCCTACCTCTATCCAAAGTAAACATTTCCTTGCCCCAATGTAGGGAGCAACATCGTAATTTTCCACCCTAGGGAGTAAAAATACTAGTTCTCCCTAACTTTTTCTTCCTTGGGAGAAAAAGTGGAAGTGACGTCATATGGTATTTGATAATAAATATACCAGACACGTTTATTTGTCTGATATAGAGCAGGAAAATGTATCTACCAAATGGTTGGGAAGAATTCTATTGCTAAAATTCATAAAAAAATTGCAGAATTTTTAAAACTGTCTGATGTCATAAATTATACCGGGCATAGTAAAGTCTACGAATATCGCTGAAGGGTATGTGCAGCAATCTCTCACAAAAAAGCAAAATATTTCGAACCAAATTGTGGGTCACTGAAGTTTTTTATGAAAATATCACGAAAGCTGCATTGGCCCCAGATCTCACTCCTAGTAGTATTCAAATAACCACTGCTCAAAACTGCACTTTCATCATTAGTTTACATAATTATTACTCTACCACAAAGTGAAAATATGTAGGATGCAAGAGTGAAAATAACATGCCCATAAGTTATATTGTATACCAACTTCTTTGTTACTTTCATCAATAAATTATTTGGAAACGACTTTTTATTTAAGGGAGACGGAAAAATCATATGTATAACATGGGGGTAAAGTATATTCTATTCTTCATTTTCCTGCAATTTCACGTATTACTTTTTATAAGCCTACTCTTTATAAGCCTTCTTCTCGTCCTAGAATTAGTCACCCCATAATTTTTTCTCTGAGTTGGATTTCCGAAAATATATTTAGCACACATGACATGAGTAAAGTAGTTCAGATACCCACATCGAGGTTTTCACCATTTCTCAATCATAAGGCTCAGCTCATTCAGCTCATAGTTAAACTACTGCTCAGCTTGAAATCAGAATTCATTCAATCAATTCAGTCAACCCTGGTATACAGTCTAAGAAGTCTCTGTTGGTAAAATACAAATACAAATTATATGTTCCCTACCTTGCAAAGATTATGCTGGAGTAGTAAACTTTATAACTAGAGGATTGTTCAACTATATCTTGATAATTTCAATACTCCACTACTTATTAACGAATTCAGTGAGGAACAAATTGTGAAAGCATCAAATTGACCTGCGAACCTGATGGCATTCCCGCCAAATTAATAAAAACACATATATCCCACCTTCACCTTCCTATAAAAATTATGTTCAACACCATGTTACGCATCTTGAGAACATTCAACGTAAATTTTTTAAATTTATTTATTTCAAAGAGCACGGCTCGTATCCTGTGAGACACTATGATTATCACCTACTTTTGAATGAATTCAATATTGTCTATTTAAAAAGAAGTCGTGAAATTGCTGCTCTCTCCTTCATCCATAAACCTATCCACAATGAAATCGAAACATCAATTTTGTTGTCTTTCTTAAATTTCGAAGTACCTCGCTCAGTCTCTAGAACTAGCCTAACTGTCCATAATGATGTACCTAATTCGCATCATTTTCATAAATGGTATTAATTATATGTGTAGATGTTTCAATAATTTACCCTCAGTAGATACATTTTTTTCAAGTTCTGGTCACTTCAAAGAAGCTCTGTATAGGCTCATATCAAACTAACATAATTGGTGAAATAGTGTTTTTCTTTTCTGTCCATTATCATACTCATAGATATTTATGTTATACTATGCTTAGATAAGTGTGTGATGCACATTCTTCTTTTGTTATATACTCCTGTAATTGGACTTTTAGTCTGTTGGATGTATTACTTCAATAAATAAATAAATATTGTATGTTAAGTTCTTCCAAAATCACGAGATTTTTGGAAAAAATATATTTTCAGCCTATGTAAAATTCTTCCATATCGTTAGTGATTTTCGAAAAAAGATAGCACCTGTATACATATCTCCCCGCCCCCCCTTCCCCGTTCAATTTAATTATCATCATTAGTCATAGATAAATCATGTTTTGTTCGGAAATTAATCGGTTACCTGCATGATTCAACTTATTAGTCATTCATTCGGGACCAGGTGGTAAATCAAGACAGTCTTATATTAGCTGTCATCACGTACGGTCGAGTTTTGTGATCGACATCGAAAAATACACGAAAGGAATTATTTATCGTTCCAAACTGAGTGTTCCCTAAAAACTGAGTGATCGTATTGATTCGTATATGGTGTTTTTGAATTCCTCATTCGATTCAATTATAATAATACCGGGATCGTGTGTTGTTCTAGTGTTTCGTGTTGTTTCATCAAACCCTCACTTTTTTCACGCTGGTAAGTGCAGAGAAATTCTCTCAATTTTTCCTCATATTTCTCTGTATTCATTTGACTCCATTACCATATACAGATTATGTCACGACGAGCTCGGGAGAAATCCATG